ACACACACACACACACACACACACGCACACACACAAACAAGTGCACATACACACAATCTACATGCGTTGATTCAAACTTACGTTTTTTAACTGCTAACATCTCCTCATGCAGTTTACACTAGGCTGTTCCTCAAACTTGCCAAATTTCCATACGTCGTCTAATTTTACTTGTTAATTCCACTTGAGTTTTGCAATTTTGTTAAATTATTAATTAGTTTTAGGTGGAAGACAGTCTTGGATTAACGGTACTGGACGAACCAGCAATAAAGCAAACAGATCCCACAATACTGGGCTTACAGCTGCGTAACGAATTTAAAGGCAGCGCTGGTGCCGTAGCGGATGAACCAGTGAAAAAACTGGAACGAGCAGACAGAAATACGGAAGAAATTGAACGCTGGATTGCTAGTATTAAGGTAAAACGTTGAGAGGAAGTGGCCGTCAGACTAGAGAAAGCAAGGAATTACGCCTTTTTTTCGTACGGAACTTGTAAAAATACTAGGCGAACTACAGGATAATACATATTTTGGCTTTTCTGCAGGAAAATATATATTTTGGTGTGCTCGTCTTTCTGAATGGAAAAAAGTTCCAAAAAAGTAAACTTAAACTTGACGGCATCTTGTGCGTTAACGCACGGGACTCGTTTCGTTCCACTTCTATATCAGTGGGAATAGCACTGTGCATGAAGTGAGCATAAAGAAATGTGAGCACTTCTATATCGTATAGAAGTACTCACATTTCTTCATGCGTATATGAATAGAATTGAAGGCATGAAATGAGTCTAACGCTATTCACAAACACTACGCACAGAACTTCAAGTCTCGCCACTGTTCGGAATACTGGGAAGGGATACTAAATCTAAATATTGTATGCGCCGATAAACACATCATTAAAACAGTTCTTCGCCTTTTAGTCATAAACGTAGATACAGCTATATGTGCGAGTAGGGACTGAAACCATATGTATTGCATTTTATTCGACATGCGTTGGAAGTGCTTGTAGATGAATTCTCAAGATCAAATTACAACGATATCTGTCACTTTTATCGATAATTTTATTAGTTTTTCAGTTTCAGGAAATACATAGAACCAAGCCGCCGACAACAGTACATTATTCGAAACCGATGCCGAACATTGAGCATCTAATGCAAGAATGGCCCAGTGAAATTGAGAATCTATTAAAGAAGGAACAGGTATACCGAAGTTCTTAGTAGCTGGCAGATTGTCTCCCACAAAAATGAAGAGAAACTGCGTGGCCTCCAGCACTTGGAAATATTCCCAAGAACTTGACATGATTCACATAATCTAAGGAGCCGCAGGATCTATTCCAAAAAAAAGAAATTAATAAGTCCCGGTGTCCTCAAAGTAACATAGTAGTCGTTACTGGGGCAACCGACTTGTTAATTTATTTCGGTGGCAAATTAGTCTGGCATATGCCAGAGTTTCAAACACGCCATCATCTTGCTTATAAGCAAACCATTCGGACAAGGTAACCACCGACAGTCTTGCCATTGGGTGGTTGTTATTGGCGTTAGCTACCATTCGTCCCTCACAAAGAGCGAAAACGGAGAAAGTTTTGACTTTTAACAAACTAATACGAATGCGCCCAGCACAAAGTTGTGGAAAAAATTAACTTTGAGGTAACATTCCATCACTTACGTTTTACAGATATTGCGCACCGTGGCTAAACATTTTCGTTCTAATGTCTGTCGCTGTTTGCAGCTGCCCAGTGCATCACTAAATGTGCCGCTGGAAGAATACGTTGATATCTGTCTCGCACTTTTGGATATACCTGTCCATAAGTCTCGTATTCAGGCACTTCACGTATTATTTACGTTGTTCGCTGAATTCCGCAACTCACAACATTTTCGAAACTTGGCCGCTAATAACTTGATGAGCAATACTCTCAAGAAAGACAACAGCAATGCGCCAGAAAGATTGGAATTGTAAATACAAATGCATGAAAATATTGCTTTGGCTTGTTGTCAGAAGAGCTGTGCTTATATTGAGATGTCGATTGCTTAGGCATCCAATAATCTATCAGTTATCAGATTATCAATATCAGATACAAAATTTTTAAATGTCTTACTCCTCTCATGGCTTGAATATTCCTTGTCCGCTCCCGATCTTCACAAAAAATATTAGACAGGGATAAAGGTTGTTTAGCACCACATTGTTCTCTTTTTGAGGGTGAAGCCCTCGGAGATATTGAGATTAGTTACAAATCAGTCCCGGTTTCCCAAATCCTCCACCCACTTGTTCAACAAGAAGATTAGTGCTGTTGCAATTCTGTCGGTGAAAGCCGTACGCATTACGATTTCATATGCATTAGCTGTAATAAAACTTATTAGAAATACCCACCAATTATTGATGCGCCAGTGTTCTTTGAAAGACAAAATTCACTGCTGTTGCCTGCTGAAGAATCAACAAGATTTTATGAAATACTCAGCGCATAAATAAAAAGTCAGATAAATCACCTACATGACAAATCTAGAAAAATACTGCCTAGAAGAATGCAAATAATAAGCGGGAACGGACTGTTAATAATTACAAATCCAGGCTGGAACGCACCAAGCTCGCCGATACGATCATGCGTTTTCGCACAAAACTTGAATGGGCCGTTAACTGTTTGAATGGTCATTGCTTCACACCCACCTTTTGAGCTCACTAGCGTAATTGTCATAAATTTTCCATAAAGGGAAATGAACAATTTCTGCTTGGTAGTCGTTCCTTGAAAATGATCTAGCTTTTCAATGAATAACTTTCCCGCCAAAAATTTAATGCCTGTACACGAAAACTACGCTTATCTGGAAGCAGAATTTTGAATCTTCAAGTTGTGTCTAGACAGGGACTATTACCCTAAAAGTTCAGTTTTCAAGCTTTTCTGGTTCCTGAGTTAGCCGCTTTCCCGCTAAAACTTTCACATACCCCCACATGAGTACCCCACGTATCCAAGGGCTGGATCTGAAACCCTTAAATTATAAGTGAAAGGGTACATCCCCTTAAAATTTCAGCCTTCTGGCTTTTCCGATTATCGAGTTAGCACTTTTTGGCCAAATCATTCACACGCCCGTAAGTGAAAACCACGAACTTCTAGTGGCTGTATTTTTTCCCTGTAAAGTTTCAGCGTTCCATCTTCTCCGGTTTCCGAAATCGCTTACTCGCCAAAAAATTTGCATATTTTTTAAGGCATTCGAACATAGGACCCAAGCGCACACGGGTGATGATGATGGTCGCACATGGTGTAGGCACGTGCTCCCGAATTTTCAGCTTTCTAGTTTTCCTGGTTCTCGAGTTGAAAGTGGGTGACGAAAAGTGGGTGCACACAGACACACACATACAAGCAGCTTCTTACCAATATGCTTTTCTTGCATTTGCATGCATGCAAAAACGCATAAAAGACTGGTTAAACCCGCGTAGAAGAATTTGGAATAGATGAGGACTTTACACCGGAATCTGGCACCGCCTGCCCAGGCATTGCTTAACAAGCTCGGCAATTATACGTACACAAACGCAATAAATGGCCAACGCACGGGCTGCCCGTGCGAAGATGCGTTTTTTGCAGAGTTCCCCG